CTCCTGCCTCTGCCTCCCAAGTAGCTGGGACCACAGGCACCCGCCACAAGGCCCGGCTATTTTTTGGTTGCAGCCATCATTGTTGTTTGGCGGGGCCCGGGCTGGATTCGAACCTGCCAGCTCGGGTGTACGTGGCTGGCACCTTAGCCACTTGAGCCACAGGCACCAAGCCTTGTTTCCTTAGTTGTACAGAAAGTTTTCAGTTTAATTAAGTCTCATTTGTCCATTTTTGTTGTTGCAATTGCCACGAAGTCTTCTTCATAAAATCTTTCTCAGGCCAGTATCTTCAAGTGTTTTCCCCAAACTTTCTTTGAGGATTTTTATTGTTTCATGCCTTAGATTTAAATCTTTTATCCATTTTGAATCAATTTTTCTAAGTGGTGAGAGGTGTGGGTCCAGTGTCAGTCTTTTACATGTGGTCATCCAGTTATGCCAGCACCACTTATTGAATAGGGATCCATTTTTTTTTGAGATGGAGTCTTACTATTTCACTGTTGGTAGAGTGCTGTGGCGTCACAGCTCACAGCAACCTCAAACTCTTGGGCTTAAGTGATTCTCTTGTCTCAGCCTCCAAAGTAGCTAGGTCTACAGATGCCCTCCACAACTCCTGGCTATTTTTTTGTGGCAGTTGTCCTTGTTGTTTTAGCTGGCCTGGCCTGGGTTTGAACCTGCCAGCCTCAATGTATGTGGCTGTGTCCTACCCACTGAGCAATGGGTGCTGCCATTGAATAGGGATTTTTTTCCCTGGACTATGTTCTTGTTTGGTTTATCAAAGATCAGGTAGCTGTAAGAAGTTAGTTTCATCTCCTAGTTTTCCATTTGGTTCGAAATGTCAATGTGCCAATACCTTGCTGTTTTGATCACTATGGCCTTGTAGTATATCCAAAAGTCTAGTAGGATGATACCTTTGGCTTTGTTTTTATTACTTAGAATTGCCTTAACTATACAGGGTTTCTTCTGGTTCCATACAAAACAAAGAATTATTTTTTTCAAATCTTAAAAGTATGATGATGGTATTTTAATGAAGATTGCACTGAATCTATAGATTGCTTTGGGTAGTACAGACATTTTCACAATGTTGATTCTTCCCAGCCATGAACATGATATGTCCTTCCATTTGTTAATATCTTCTGCTATTTCTTTTCTTAGAGTTTTGTAATTTTCTTTGTAGAGGTCCTTTACTTCTTTTGTTATGTATATTCCTAGGTTTTTTTTTTTTTTTTTTGGAGCTACTGTGATGGGAATTGTGTCCTTGATTAGCTTCACATCTTGGCTGTTATTGGCATATCCAAAGGCTACTGATTTGTGGAGAGTAATTTCATATCCTGAGACATTGCTGTATTTTTTGATCATTTCCAGGAGTCTTGTGATTGAGTCTTAGGGGTTCTCTAAGTATAAGATCATATCATCAGTAAAGAGCAAGAGTTTGAACTCCTTGTTACCCATCTGGATGCCCTTTATTTCCTTCTCTTGCCTGATTGTATAGCCTAGAACTTTCAGCACTATATTGAATAGTAGTGGTGATAGAGGACAACCTTGTCTGGTTCCAGTTCTAAGTGGGAAAGCTTTCAGTTAAACTCCATTCAGTGTAGTATCAGCTGTGGGTCTGTCATAGATGGCTTTGATCAGATTAAGAAATATGCCACCTATGCCTAAATTCCTAAGTATTCTAATTAGAAAAGAACACTGATAGCCAGGTGTTGTGGCAGG